ATACACATGCGATACTATCCGTTTTATGTAACTTTTGCGATTGATCTCTTTGATTGTGAATAACAATCCATTGTGCATCATGCCTTGATGAACATCTGTGTCCCAATATATACTCCCAGGACTTACATCATGTAAGACAGAAAAAGAAACGAAGAAGAAGAAGAAGAAGAAATCTCTTGCGTATATTCAAATTGTTCATGCAAAAGAAAACTGTACGATTGTATTTCATTCAAAATATATCCGACAATGACGACTTAATCGGGCATGCCCATCATGGTCGTTCTCAATTGCGATGCAATTGCGTAAGACCAGAACAGCAGACACGCGTACTATCTTTCCGTTTAGAAAAGACAATTGGTTAAAATGAATACACTGGAGAGAAAGGGAATACAAAAAGAAAAACGGAAAGGACTTATTGCAAAATGAAATACAAGGACACAAATGTCGCACGAGGTTAGAAATCGAATTGTTATTGATGAAACGATATTGAAGAAATGACAAGATATATGGGAATACAAAGTAAAACGATCGCGAGAGACAAGGACACAATGTCCAAAATGTATCAAGCTTATCGTCTTCGATCTTGTCAATGTGAACATGAATATCTCACTTTGAAAACTCATCGATAAATGATCGAACAAATATAATGAGAATGATTTCATTTAATCCTTACGATATAGACATATCAATATTGAAATGAACGATTTGTCATGATGTTCAAGGGTAAGACTAAGCATCTCGTTTTGATATTCATCACCGAAGAAGAAGAAAAAATCGAGCATAGCGATGATTTCTATCATGATCAATCATCATGAAATGAACAAAAACATATTGTTGAATGAAAATGTCAGGTCATGATCATGTCTACTGTCTAATGACTGCTTGTTTTTTCTTCATCATCGTAAAAAAAACTTACCATTTTGTGTTGATATTTGTTTTTTTTATATTTGACATTGAAGAGGAGGAGTTATTGTATGAATCTGAATAATAACCACTTTCGACCTGCCATCCCTGAGTGGATGATGGAGGACAATGAATATTAACTATCGATGTCCGTGACGCTGTCATAATCTAAAGTTAAACGAAAGGAATATGAATATGAAGAGCAGGGAAAAAAGAAGAGAAGAATCAAATGAACATTATTTTTTCCTCTCTCTCTCTCTTTCCCTTTATGATCAAATTCCTCTCCTCTTTCTCTCTTATCGTTCATCTAAACTTCTTCGCTGTGCATCATCTGTGATTAAAGCAAGACAGATGAATATCAACATATTTACTTCTTAACTTTGCTCACGTAATGAAATGTAAAAAAAAACTGAAAAGATGAAGATATGAGACAACGTCGATTTCTCGTCTTTCGGACAATCTATGTGTAGACAGGTATCGATATCATCGATAATACTGATGATTGTTGCATCAGAAACGAGACGTCTTTCGTGCTGCAAATCATCAACAGACAAGATGACTAGTCGCATCTTATTACTCAATAATGACAGCTCAACTCAATCAATCTATATCATCAATATTGACTTTCTGGATCGGATCAGATAGCGCATCTTGCTCGTACGAGATTATTTATGTTTCACTTTCTAATTATAGTCATTCAGAGATAATTAAACATTGAAGTCATGANTTGCATCAGAAACGAGACGTCTTTCGTGCTGCAAATCATCAACAGACAAGATGACTAGTCGCATCTTATTACTCAATAATGACAGCTCAACTCAATCAATCTATATCATCAATATTGACTTTCTGGATCGGATCAGATAGCGCATCTTGCTCGTACGAGATTATTTATGTTTCACTTTCTAATTATAGTCATTCAGAGATAATTAAACATTGAAGTCATGAAATACATTCGTATATCCACGAGAAAAATCAATCAACACATTTGATATTGATTAATACTAAAAACAAGAAAGTTGTACTCATAGAAAAATAGTTATCAACCTTGAACGTAGTCTTAATGAAAATATATTATGCAGAAATGATCCACTTACTCAATACGTATATATGTGTGATCTTGTTGACATTTGACTGAGCACATACACATGGTCAATCTGATTATGATCGTAATAAAATCGCTGCCAATGTCATCGAGCGTGAGTTGAGATTTTCTACACTTCTCGTCGAAATTTTCTTCCTAACGAATAATTGACATATGAACGTTCAACGTGTATCATCTCTTCTATTATTTACATAGTGAAGGGCAATGGGTCGCGCACTTTTCGTCTTCAATGTTTTTGTTCAATCGATAAAAACGACAAATAAATCTAATCTCGCACCATGATGCACATTTTTCTTCCACTCACTCGTTTCCAGTCAAATGTGTACATGTATACATAAATATTGCTCTAATGATTTCAATTGAATGCAGCATACATTAGAATATCACAAACCATCATTTGATTCGTATCATTCGATGAATATGGAGAATAAATTAGAGCAAGCTGGGTTCGCGCATGTATACGGCAAACACAATAACTGTCAATCAGTAGATGTATATATCCATACACAAAAGTGAAACATGTGCTGAACACCACAGGTGATTTCTATTCAGATGAGACAAAGAAAAACCAAGTGCTTTCTTTCTCTCTCTTTCTCAATTAGTGTGACCTAAGCTAATAGAACAACACAAACATACAGACATTCTATACGTATTTGTATATCTATATGTATGTCAAGTAACGGTAGAAGGAATCACTTCATTGTGAACAAAGTTTGACTTGACTTCGAGCATTCTTTTCTTTCTCCTCTCTATGCTTATCAGCACGCTTCATTTCTTCGTAAGATAAAAAAAAAATGATGATTGTTTGAAACCTTAGCATCTGACTGGTATAAAAATGAATCAAAGATGCAACTTGAAATGAATATGAAACCTGAATGTTGCAGACGACAGACTAGAGATTCTCGAAAGAGTCACTTCTATACATTTAGTTGAGCTTAATCAAAATGAAAAGCAAAACAAAAATTGAATAGATATCTTATCGAGTTTTGAGACGCAATACTTACGACGACAAGTGTTCACACACACTTCACCCGTGAATATCAGAAGAAAATAATACAAAAAAAAGAAAAGATTGATCTAACTTTTTGCTCTGAGCGTGTACTTTCCACTTCAAACTTCACCCCATTTCATTTGGAGTCAATTATCAAGAAAAAAAGACAGAGAAAGAAAATCTGAGTAGTCGATATGAAAAAAGAAACCAATCTTTGATCATTGACATGTGTTCATTTCTCATATTTACTATTTTGATTTCAATACACCTGCCAAATTTTCACGGACGAGTACAAAAGAAAAGAAATGCAACATTAGAAGAGATATATCTTTTCCTTTCTTCTAATCAACGCAAAAGTAATGTAGTCCTTGATCTTGTGCACATCTGTGTATAGCCTGGTGACCCTCACTGCTCTAACTTTTCTTCAAGCCGTTTAGATACAAATTTATACAATAACTATATAAATATAGATTTATTCTATTTGACAAAAGACATCTGGCTCACCTGGTCATCGAGTCTTGATCGTTTAATTGATTCATTCTGAACATATGGATAGATGTATGCGCTTGAGATAACAGGAAGATAGAAGAACAATACACAGTCTCGTAAACAAGTTTATTACTTAGCTTTCTCGTATATCTTTCAATCGAACGACGTTTATTTCACGCTTGAACTCTGATAACAAAGAAAAACTATATTTCATGAAAAGATGATGATGAATAGAGGAGGGGGGAAAGGAGGGCGAACTACACATATTCTCAGATAATGCACTTATTTCGCCTATTAATTTACTCGTTCACAGAACGGACAACGGTTGAGACTAAAACTACAAGAACGATAAGCCATGCACGAGATAGATATTTGATCGGTCCCTCGAGGACATCAAGACAACGAAGCTGGCAAGAAACAAAATGAAAGAAATTTGTATGGCCTGATACAAAACAAATTGATTATCAACTGTGAACGAGAGAAAAAATGATTGAATCTTGACATAATCGGCTCTTCTTCTCCTATCATTTATGATCGTTCAGACTGCTCATCTCAACAGCTCATTAGAGCAGAGTTTCTAATAGTTAGATCCATCAATTTAGAACAATAGTAAAAAAGAGACTTCTTTTCTTCCAATAGTAATCAAATGAAGTAAATCAAGTCAATCGTAGATAGAGACAACAAAATGACCATCATCATCAGTCATTTCTTTTTTCGTCTATTGGAGACATACTGTGAAATCTACTCGACAAAGGCGGCGATGTTAACAGTATCCTCTTGAAAAATTAGTCCACAGCTGTGTCGAAAGTACTCAGACAGACACAAGCGTAATTTGAATGAATCCAATGGGCAAAGAAGATGAGTTTAACTTGAATTGAATCGATTTGTTGCTGACAATAATCACAAAAGAAACGAGGATTATTTATCTATTTTTAATTATTTTCTTTTCTTATCAACAGCTGAGACAGTCGTGTTTATATGTGTCGAGTTGACATTTATTTCACGATTAAGAAAGTAGTTAATTGCCAAACGTTGATCATTCGATATTTAAGACACAATAAATGTCTATTGAACGTCAAACCTTCTGCAACGGAAGGAAATGTGGCGTGTTGCCAGACAGTTCAGACATACGTCTCTTTAAAATACTATCGACGGAAACAAATCATGAGTGGCACGAGGCAAAAATTGTGATCTCTTCGTTTGATTGATGAACGGTGTGAACTATTCATATACAAATGAGTGACGGAAATGTGTATGCCATCAGAAAAATTATTCTTTGTCAAATAGGGACGATTGAACTCAATTAAACAACATAATTTTCCTCGCAAACATTCTTTCATTAGACATGTGATGAAATCCATTGGTAATTTGAACCGTATCGATGACGACGGTGCAATGCACAGTTGTTCTTATATTTTTCTCGAATAAATTATTCGAATTTATAATTATGGTCTGCATCCGGAAATTTCAACTGATATGAATAATGCAACAAATGGATGATGAAATGTATAAAAAATATCGTAATTTGCAGAGCAAAGAAGGGAATGAATAAACATGACTCGTGAAAGTTTGAGTAGTCGAAAAAATAAGAGTACCGCCATCTGTCATAGAAGACTCTGTGGTAATTGCACAATGCTAATGGTAATATTTATCATTAAAAACGTGCTCTGTCAGTTATCGTGAGCATTATTCAATTTTACATGGCGCATTCATTCACACGAGCACCTCAGAGAACTGCAAACACTTCTACAAATCAATCATTATCTATATATGTTGGTAATCTTTCGTATGGTACCAATGAAAGGGATTTAGAAGCGTTTTTCAATGAAAAATGTGGTAATGTCAAACGAGTGCGTATTATTTATGATAATAATACACAGCAAAGTCGTGGTTTTGCTTTTGTAAACTTCAATACCGATGATGCATTGAATACGGCATTGAATCTCTCGGACTGCCGATTGGATGGACGTGTACTTCGAATTTCACCTGCAGAAGCAAGGAATTCTTCATCAGTTTCGACTGATCAAGTTGCTTCAACTACACCTCAAACAACAAACAAACACAGAACACAAGTGGTACATTGCAAGAAATCAAAGTACGATGTTTATATTGGCCGTCCATCTGATTGGGGCAATCCATTTGTGATTGGCAAAGATGGAGATCGTGACGATGTTATAAGAAAATATCGTAATTGGATTATGCGCCAGGCAGATCTTCTAGCTCGAATTAAACCAGAACTTCAAGGTAAACGAATTGCGTGCTGGTGTAAACCAGAAGCATGTCATGGTGATGTTCTCGCGGAGCTCGCTGATGTTGATTGAATCTTATATGAAAATGGCATTTTCTTTTGTTGTGACAATAACATTTGCTGTAATCGATTTATACGAAATATTTGATAAGTTAAGATAAGGAAGAACGATTTGTTTAAACGAAAATATTTGTCTTTTTTTGGTATTTTTTACTTTCGTCGAGATAAAAAAATATCACAAGAACAGTTTCTATTCAAAAGTGATTCTTCTTTTCGAAGTAAATGATAAGCATCTGACACATTGATCCCTGTATGAGTAATTGCTTGAAAAGAGAAGAAAAAGATACTCGGAATACTGCGAAGGTTTGTCAGGTCTAACAAAGGTTAATCTTCACGATCGCCGTTAATAATATGTTTACGGATCGATGTACGTAAAACCGAATAAATGATTTTAATGAGTAATCTCTCTTCTAGTTGAACAAAATCGCTCCTGTTCCTGTGCGCTGACCTTTGTCTGTTTGGTGATCGATTACTCTAAACTTTACGGAGATTCACATATGAAGCTATTATGAGTTTGTCTGACCGAGAGATAAAGTAGGAAACAACAGAGCGAAGAAAAGTTGTTGATATAATCGGATAACGTCTGGAAGAATAGAAAATCATCTGGAACAGCAATTGCATCAGCGATGGCGGTCACTGTTAGAATAACAAAGACTAAAGACGCAACAGGCAAGGAATAGTTCAACATACNCTTTTACAATTTTCGATACTTTCTTTTACAGGTTTTATATGAGGGTGATTCGCCGGTAATGCACGTTGATGAATGTCCAGAGCGCGTTCGAAATAGGTAAGTGATTTCGAATAGTCCTTAGTGTTGTAGTACACCACACCGATGTTGTTATACGAAGTAGCCAACGAAGGGTGATTCGAAGGAAGAGTTTTTTCTCTAATTTCAAGTGCTTTTTCATAGAATGAAAGTGCTTTCGAATACTCTCCCATGTTCCTGTACACCCCACCGATGTTGTTGTACGAAGTAGCCAAATCAGGGTGATTCGAGGGAAGAGTTTTTTTGTCGATTTCAAGTGCTTTTTCATAGAATGAAAGTGCTTTCGAATACTCTCCCATGTTCTTGTAGACCAAACCGATGTTGTTATACGAAGTAGCCAAATCAGGGTGATTCGACGGACGAGATCCTTCCCCGATTTCAAGTGCTTTTTCATAGAATGAAAGTGCTTTCGAATACTCTCCCATGTTCATGTACACCCCACCGATGTTGCTGTACGAAGTAGCCAGCGAAGGGTGATTCGAAGGAAGAGTTTTTTCTCTAATTCCAAGTGCTTTTTCATGGAATGAAAGTGCTTTCGAATACTCTCCCATGTTCTTGTACACCGTACCGATGCAGCTGTACGAAGTAGCCAAATGAGGGTGATTCGAAGGAAGAGTTTTTTCTCTAATTTCAAGTGCTTTTTCATAGTATTCTATAGCCATTTTATGAGCACCTTGCCTATATTTTAAGCGGCCAAGTTGATGATAATAGTGTGCTCTGTCATTCTTATCAGACGTTTGTTCGAGCAACACAGTGTACAGTTCTTCGGCTTTATCCAGCTGTCCGAGTGTAAGCAATAATTTACCCAAACGTTGCCATCCTGTACTACCTCGAACTTCACTTTCAATACGGTCCGTTAACACACGTAGTTGTGGATCGTCATCAGCAGTCAACTGAAGTTGTACCTCATGGTAAAGGTTACTTTTGTCACCCACTTGTCGAATTGTACCGACTCGAAACACGCTGTGCATGGAAAACAGGATCTCTGCTTCGTCTTTGATGGAACTAAAATCTC